CGGGGCTCCCGGCCGAGGCTGCACGGAAGGCTGCGGCGTGGACTCGCCTTCGGGGAGGCACGGAGAGCGACGCCGCACACGGCCGCGGAGGGGAGAGCGAGGCCCCCAACAGTCCCCAAGAATTCTCCGGTAAGCTCCGCTTGCGCCCCGGCACCTCTGCCTGTGTGTGTGCGCGCAGAGAGAGTGAGAGGGAGCGAGAGGAGCGGGGAGAGAAGAGGGGGAGACGGGGAGTGCGAAGTCCTGACACAGACTCTCGGCGAGGTCTGAACTGGAGTCACCTCTCGGCCTCACCAGCTCCCCACCTACCCCCCCCACCCCAGGTCTGCTAATCATATAAACATATTAGTGTCTACAGCGGCGAAGGACAAATGTCTCCCTCCTGATTTTTCCAGCAAGGGGCTCAAGCAAACTCAAAAGAAGATTACAGGCAGCTAAGTACAAAACGTGGAGCAGATAATCTATAACTCATTGCCGCCCAATGGCCATTTTCCACTCCATTTGAGCAGCTGCGGCGGCGGTGGTGCGCCCGAGCAGGGGGGAGGCGGCGCGAAGGGGACACTTACAGGCTCCAGCGGTCGCCGGTGGCAGTGGCGGTGGCCGAGCAGCCTTCCTAGGACAGGACGGCTACGCGCGCACGGCCCGGATCGCTCCCCGGAGGTGGCCAGGGCCGACTCGCGCCCTTCCCTTCGGCCCCCTCCCCTCCGATCGCTCCCCTGGGCCTTCCCAGGTCCCAGGGTGCCACATCCAGTCACACCCCACCCAAAAACACACCCATTCCACCTTCCCCCTCTCCGTCGCCACCCCCCAACTCCACTCACTGCGCGCTCGGTCCTCGCGCGCTCAGCCGGCGCACGCTCTCCATCCTGTCCACACACACGCACTTTAAAAACATTTATTTTATTTCTGAAAAGGGGTGAAGGGTGTATGGGAGAGCGCGGAGCAGCCCCTGAGGCTAGGTATTGGGGCCTCCCTCCCCTCTTCCCTCCAGGCCCTGGAGCTTTCTCCTTGCCTGGACTTCGCAGAGGCGCCCTGGATGCGTCTGGTACCCACCCCGTCTCCAGGTTTTCTCTTTTCTCCACGCACCGAGCCGGAGGCCCCGAAACTTTGAGTTTCCGCAGCCCTCCTTTTGTGTGACTGCTCGGAGGAGAAAGAACGTCTGTTCGCCGCGGCTGCCTCCGACCGGCTGCAGAGCGCAGGGGACGCTCCAGGGTTAATGCGTCTTTGATACCTGAGATTTCCGGTGCGCTCGTTAATGAAAGTTACATTTTTTTAAAGATTGCAATGAGTTTTTCTTTGTAGTTACATACAGCTAGCTAAACTTTGACTTTATTGACTATATTTCACAAGAGCGTTTTGTTTGTTTTTGATTAAACTCACCAGGATAAGTAAGCAACGGAAGGAAAGGAGACTGCAAGGCTCTATACTTGCAAGTACATTCACAGTACTGTTAGGTCTGTTTCCGTCGTTTCCTTACATTGAAACTGCTCCTGTCCTGTGACCACACTTCCTTACCCTGCCTGTTGGCCATGTCAGCAAAAGCCAGGCAGAGCGGACGATGATCCCAAGCTGAAGGGAACAGACCAGGACAGGGCCAGTCACTTCTAGAGAGGCACGTAAAAGCCAGTTAATTGTCCGCTGTATAAGAAGAAAATCAAATTTGAATTTTTTAAGCACAAAATTTCTGAGTTGAGAGCCAGTAAGTTTTCAGATGTATTTCTGTACCACTGACTTACTAATGAAAGCAGCCATTTGCCTTGGTTTTTGAGAAAAACTGATTCTCCAAGATTTAAAGCCTCCAGAAAATAGGGTGAAACTTGAACTTTCTTTGCTTTCAGAAACAATATGTACTTTTTGTTACCGCGGGTATGTTATAGTCATCATACTTCAGAAATCATTCCAAACAATGTTATTAAAATGTCAACAGTAGATTGCTCAAAAGACACTAAGATTCTAAATACCTATCAGCATTTTGTCACAAAGCCAGATCTGTGCAGTAATAGAGTAAATCCAGCTATTGGTCAACTATTGTTCTCAAAGTGTAGGAAATCTTTAACTGCTCCTATTTTCTAAAAACTGGAACATGCACTTTTGGTAGATTATAATTCTCAAATTAAAAGAAGAGTCTAAGCCAATCCAACTACTTTTACTTGATGTACTATATTGATATTTAGATATCACAATTTCCAAAGATAAAAGGAACAATTTAGAGCATCAGACGGTCTTCAATTTGGAATTTCATAAGTAATTCAGACATCATCCATTCAGGATATAAACTAGTATGGAAAAAATATGCACCGATTCAGAGCTGGTATGAAACCTCATAATGTTACCTAATTTTTACATGTGTCAAAATTTATACATACTACAGATTTACTAGGAAAATCAAATTAGACTTCTTAAAGTAGTTGGAAAAAAGAATTGTAAGCATCAGACCTCAAAAGTCATTTACATCATAGTCTTCCTTGGGATTTAAAATTATTTTCTTTAGGATTATAAAACAGAATGTCAAACTAGTAACAATAATTTCAGTTTTCCAAAAATTTTAAGCCAGTTCTTTTGTTCATCTATGAAGGTTTTCCACTCTTCTGGGCATGACTCACAAGAAACCCCAATGAATGCATACATCAGTCTAATCCTATTTTCTTTTGGGAATCAAAATTTAGGCTGAAGTTTTTATTTAGGGAGCTTAGTAAGTAATCAATAGACATTTTTGCCTGAATTAAGCTGGCCATATGTTGGCTCATTTACTTATTTATTTAAAACTCTCCCAGAAAGACTTAAGAACCCACTTTCTACATTTCATAGGTCTGACATTCTTTGATGCTCAGGATATGAAGTGAGTCACTTTTTACTATGTTCCTAAACAGACTACATCACCAAAAAAGCAGGAGGCTTGGAAGTAGAGACGAATTTATCAAAACTGAGTTAAAACTAGAGGGAGTGGAAAATTCCCCATAGAAATTTCAAATCTTAATTCAATAGAATGTCTATTCTATAGAGTTCAAAGGGTCCAAGGCTTTTTTTCTAACATATATAAGTTTGCTGTGTTTTTAAAATTACAGCTAAAAGTATTCCTTCTCTAAATGTTCTAAAGTTTAACGAATTTCTGTTCTTTCTTTGCTCTTTTTACATGGTACTTCAACTTTGTGCACCCACAAGAACTGAAAGAGCATTCAGTTGATAGTCAAGATTAAACTGTTACCCACAAACCTGCCATAACGAAGGAGGGATTAAATGACATTCTCCACTGAGTGTGTCCACATTCAGAAAACCTGACACTTCATGACAATTCAAAACATAATTTATGACAATACAGATGTGATGGTACAAAAAAATGAAAGGAGCTTAATAAAGTCTGCAGATGTGAGTGAGTTAAGAGTTGGAATATGTTATACCTTCCCTACAATCTAATCACTTTAACTACTCAGTCTATATTATTCTTTAAGTCATGGCAAAATCATTGACTTATTCATAATACTTGCTAATTGTTTTTTAAAAATAAATTCTACAAAGGACAAAGGAAACACCCATTTCCATTTGTTTTATGTTAAATCAACATCTAACCACTCATGGTGATTTAATTCAAAGAAAAACAGAAGGATCTCATTAGCTTGTGTGGTTAGAGAGATTGATGGGCTTCAAACATTTTAGCCATGCATGTTTTTTCCAACTGTAAAAACTCATGTTTTTAATTTAAACAACCTTAAGAAACTAAAGATTATTTTATCCAATGAGTTCATGGATTTCTGATACAGAAACCATGCTGATTTTGAAAGCTATTAACATCCAGTTGTCTTGGTTTAGAGGGATGTGATCAGGTAGGTACTTGTCAAAATACGTGAGTACCAATGAAAATGAAAGAATCTGAAGAAGTATGAAAATGGAAGTTGCAAAATATTGTGATGAGTGTAAGCCAATAAAATACAATCCGTGGCTTCTTCACCATCTCCCTCTAATAACCTTGGACACAGATAACCCAGTTTAAAAGGGGTTCCCAGGGGAAGATTGGAGAGGAGCTATTAGTACCTGACAGTGGGCTAAAAATTGCCATAATGTTTGAGCTGCACAGATGGAGAGAACTGTGAGGGAGAGGTTTTATCCATCATGTGATTAGAGCTTGTGGACATTTTCAGAAGGCAAACAACAAATAAGCAAACAAGAAAATGAGTTCAACTATTTTCTAATTCAGAAATAGATATAAAATGTTAGACTATATACAAAATTTAACTCCGCTCTCTTTCCTTTGTTATTACTGTTTGGTGATGCTTGGTGTTGAAACTATTTTTCCCAAATCTAGAAAATAAACTATTTTAAAGCTCTAGAGCAGATCAAAGCAGTGTGTGAATACCAATCTCGACTAGAACTGGTTGAAGATCATTAGCTTTGTTTTTCATTTTGGCTTTGCCATGCATGTAGGCTGAAAAGAAATCAAGACTCATTTTCCATGAGAACAGAAACATATGAAAGCATTTGGCAAAGCCAATAAGTTTTTAAGTATTGTCCTGGCTCTCTAGGCTGAGTAAATTTTATCCAAAGAGGCCAAACCCTATCCATAATGGAGAGATGCTGGCGCAAGTATAAGGATAAAATGTAACATAAATATGGTTATAGTATACTGTGCTTAATGATATTGTTTAGAAGTGTATAATCACATATATTATTAATAGTCATCACTGTGTAATTAATGCTTTATAAAAATATTCACCAGTAAAACTGGCTGCATGATTTTTTCTGTAAACTTGAAGTATTTAAATATGCATAACTATATATAAAATTTTTATACCTTTACAATTATGATACTCAAAGCAAGCAAATTAAAATAGATATCCCTCATAATCATTGTTCCTTTGAGTTTCACACAATTCCAAGTTATCCTTTCTTTCCCATAGATTGTTCCCATAACTCTTGTTAATCTTTGCACCTTGAGGATTTTCTATAATTGGGTCTTATAGATCTTCTATCAATGCTTCTGTCAAACCAGGAAGTATAACTATAATAACCTTATTTTTTACAAGCCTTATACTAATATAATAACTATTTTGTTCATGATAAATAGTCATAACCAAATATTTGCTTACTAAAAATATGTGGTTTAAAAATGATCCTAGTCATCTCATCTTAAGTTATAC